GTATTCCCCAATTCTCCTCATTGTTTAAGTCCATCCAAGTTCAGAAATTACAAAGGAGGCTTTTTCTAGAAATATGGAAATGATTGTGGTTTTCAGAAAGAGTATTCTTGAAGATAACTGAGGGTGTAAGTTTGGCGTAAGTAGAGGCAGCAGGTAAAACTGCTTCCAGGAAATAGGGTTACAGACGCTAATCTAGATCATTGCTTTGGAAAAAGCTTATACAGCTTTTTACCTAAAAGGGAAACATTATACCCCATCATGTATAATATGATCACATGTATGAAAAATTATGACTCATACATTGTATGTATTTGAGTATGGAGGACCATCTAGAAAAGCATTCACCCAATTTTATTACTTATAGCTAAAAAGACATTTTTTTTCATCTACATCTGAATTGTTTTCTCTACCCAGTCTGAGTTTTGTAAGTAAACGGAATGTCCAGGGGACAGGTCTCTGGGAGGACAGGTGATAGGAGGGGATCTCGTGGAACTAAAACCTGCATAGGTCCGGCACAGCTACTAATAATTGGGAGGTGAGTCATTCAACATAAAGGAATGGGCTGCGGTACAGTGGGTACAATGCTCTGTCTTGTGTATCTGCTCGTATGAATATGTGCTCCATAGTACTGCAGTAAGATTATGTGTTCAGCAGAAAGGAATATTCTAAAAGGTAGAAGATGCAACACCACAGTACATAGTTTCCAAATTTTATAGCATGTGCACAGAGAACCTTTTGTATTTATTTTTAAGCTACTGTTTCTGAATTAGGAATAATGAGCTTTATTTGGATATATTGAATTTTAGATCCTATTTGTACATCTTATCTGTATCCCCACTTTATCTCCTAAAGAGAATTTTTCTGTTGTTTATCAAACAAGCATAGAAAAGACAGGCTTGATGGCTGTAAAGATAACTCTTTCCACCAGCCGCCTGAGTTCCGCCATCACTTCAGGGCCCCCAAATAACACACAGAGTCTTATATTAGTTACAATGCTGCTGGCCAATGACTAGGATTTCTTATTTGCTAGCTGTCTTAATTATCAACCATAACTACTAATCTATCTATCTATCTATCTATCTATCTATCTATTTTTTTTATAAGGACTTATCTTACTGAGGACACTGGCCTTATGTGTCCTCTCTTCCTGGGATCACATGGTGACTTCTCTTCTTTACTACATTTCCCAGAATCCTCCTCGACTCCTAGCCCCACCTGTCTTGCTTCCCTATTGGTCAACAGTGCTTTATTCATTAACCAATAAGAGACATATACACAGAAGGACTTCCCCCATCAGATGGCATCAGTAGTTGGGAGGTGGAGGCAGGTGAATGTGTGAGTTCCAGGCCAGGCAGAGCGGTATAATGAGATCCTATGTCAACGTGTCTAAAACGGGGAGGAGTAAACCATAATCGGGACATTCTATGTGAGATAAAAGCTATTATCAGTCAAAGGGAAAAACTATACATCAAAGTAAGGTAAAAATATCTTACACATGAACATCCAATTCCTAGAATCTTAAAAACAGATGTAATCTTAAGTAATTGCATTATAAAGTTATTGTATAACCTTTTAATGTCTTATAATTTGCACAGGAATCATACATATTAATTAGAAAGATGCAAAAATATATGCCATACTTATATAGTCATATGAACTTTGTAAATATACAGTTGTATAATAAATCACCCGAAGGCAGAGAATAGTAATATAACCTTATAGTGAGCTGCTATTCCCTGTTAAATTCATGTCCACCTAGGGCTTTAGAATGCAACCTTAGTTGAAAACAAGATCATGGCAGATGTAAGCGATATAAAAAATAAGCTTATCATAAGCCTATCATATGAGATTATAAATGCATGAGTATCTACAGGAGACAGAAATAAAAAGGTATGGAGGTATTGGAGCAGCCAGCCAGAAGGAGACAGTAACCAGTTACCCAACCAGGAAATGCCTGGGCCACCAGCATCAGGGAGAGGGAAGAAAGGATTGTCCCAGAATTCAGAAGTCTGTTCTGCTCTATCCTTAACACCAGGGCCCTCATCTTCACCACACGGAATGAATTCCTGCCACCTAAACCTCTTTGTGATATTTGTTACAGATATTTGTTCCTTGAAGGGGGGGGGTCTTCAGAGTCTGTCATATCCTTTGGGATAGGGCCTAGGCCCTTCCCCGAGTGTCTAGGCTGAGGGAGTATCCTTCTATGTCGAATGGGCTCCCAAAGTCCATTCCTATGCTAGGGATAAGTACTGATCTACTCCAAGAGGTCCCGAAGATTGCTGAGGTTTTCTCACTGACGCCCACATTCATGGGGTCTGGATCAGTTCCATGCTGGTTTCCCAGCTATCAGTCTGGGGGCCAAGAGCTCCCCCTTGTTCAGGTCAGCTGTTTCTGTGGGTTTCTCCAGCCTGGTCTGGACCCCTTTGCTCTTAACTCCTCCCTCTCTGCAACTGGATTCCAGTTCAGTTTAGTGTTTAGCTGTGGGTATCTGCTTC